CAGATCTCTCCCTTATCTACGACTGGGCGGAAATTATCGGATTCAAAGACCACCTGCACAAATGCGAAAAGGATACAGTTATTGGCCGGTTTACGGAAGAAACGAAACTAAGCAAAACGCTGACAAGCGCCAACATCGCATCCGTGTTCACTAAAATACGGACACAAAGAGTCCCGCAGCTATATTATGCTTTCTCTCGCAGAAATATGGCGCTCGTTTGCTGGATCGTTAAATAATTCTCCACCTTTTGCCGTCAGACTAAAGTTCTCGAACAACTCAAGTGTGAGAAACATGCACGCGTGGGTTTCGGCAATGAATGTGGTAAGGATATGGACGGAAGCAACAATATGATCCACCAAAATTAGATCCAAGTGGTAAATAGCAATACTTAACGCTCGTTCAACTGATTCGAATGAGCGTCCGAAATAGAAATTATGACGAGAATTAAGAGGGTAACTCCGGGGAAGCAGGAGCGCTGTGAGTGTGGTCACACACGACAAACGGTCGGAGGAGAGTAATAGTTGTGCTTATTGTCTCAAATACGGTACCTCACAAATTAGCTATTCATTTCCATACCGAAACACTATAGTTGGCCTTTCATCCTTTTCCCCGGCGATGATTTGAAGGCTGTAACACGGTGTGCTATTTCGTAAATCAACGATCAGATTGTTTGGGAACGGCGTCTAAAGAATCCTTATACACTAATAAAACTAAATGATTTGCCATCAGCGACGAATGAGTTTCACGGCGAAACTTATTTGGTACTCTAAAGCGTAGATCACATGCTAATCCGTCTTGTCTGGGAGAAAGAAGGCACACTGAATGCATGAAATAAGTTCAGCTCGCTTACTGTGTTTTATTGGGGGTATGTAAGTGAAATGGATTTAGTGGCTACAAAGTAAGTTATCGTAAAATTAGTAACTATTATCAGTTCAGGAACTTACACAAAAAGTAGGTAAACAAACACACCAGCAGAAAGTTCGAAGCAAGAATTAGAGAGGAAGCGTTGTTCGCTGAACAACCTAACAGTTGAAGGTGATAAGCAGAATATAATGCCGCTATTTACTTTGCGACAACACCAGGTCAAGCGTGGTCTATAGCCGATAATGGGATTGATTTCGTGGGCTCAGTTAATGAAGTTCATCATCATCATCGTACACGTTAGCTAGAGGTGGGGAAGACCTCAGCTAATGTGCCGCAATACATAGAAAAAGGAGAAAAAAATGCAACTGGTGCAAGCTGGCTGAGCTACCGGTAACGGATGGGCATGGTTCCGGTAAGCTACCAGCCGGCTACTGTGCATCAGAAAAAAATACTATGCAAAATTATATAAGGCTAAATAATGAGATCGTGGTTGGAGGGTGAGGCTAAGAGGGATGGGGTGGGACAAAGAAATTCACAGCACGAACGCCACTGAGGTCGGCTCCTAGCCATATCAGCAAGTGTGTCCAACCAAACGTGTTCATCGTCTTTCGGACCCCAACCAGGGAGCCGAGACGCTCCAGCCGAGGCCAGCTCAGAAGTGAGGGCCTTCATTCCTCTCGACCAAGTCATCGCTTGGCCACCCCTCCTCTTCTTCCATCCACACCCCCGGCGAGCAAACAACGCACGTCGCGGGAGTCGGTGGGCTGGCATGCGTAACACATGGCCGAGCCATCGGAGCCTAGTGCGTGAAATGACGGTGCTGAGCGGTTCAGTTCCTTTTCCTGTGCCATAAACAAGGCGTCGAACACGCTCGTTGCTCACGTGGTGTTCCCACCAGATGTGAGCTTAATTACGAAGGCACCGGTGGTCGAACGTAACTAGCCTCTTCAGATCCGTTGCTTTAAGGGGCCAGATTTCACAACCGTACAGTAGAGTCGTACGTACAGCTGCATTGTACCCTCTATTCTTCAAGGCAAGTGGGATGTCGCGCCGGCGCCGTAAGTGGCGAAGGTTAACAAAAGCGCCCGGAGCTTTTGCTATACGGTTCGTGTTTTCATCTTCAATCCCAAGGACGCTGATACAACTTCCCAGGTAGTTGAATTTCTGAACGACTTCTAGCTAATCCTCACCAACGGTCAGCGTAGGAGGCGATCCAGACCAATCTTGGAGGAACGCTTTGCACTTCGTTGGTGCAAGGCAACTCCCGAAGTGACGGACAGCTATTGCTAATCTGTCCAGCGCGGCCTGGCACGTTTGTGAGTTGTCACAGATTAGGGCAACATCATCAGCATACTCCAAGTCTAGAAGTCGTTCTCCTGGGAGCAGATCCACACCTTCTAAGTCGTGTTCTGTAAACGCGATTTCCATGACTTCGTCAACAGCGAAGTTGAAGAGGAAAGGCGAAAGCGGGCATCCTTGTCTCACACCGCTGAAGATATTAAAGGGCGACGACAACTTGCCGTAAGCCCTCACTCTGGCCGAGCTACGCGCATATAATGCTCGGATAATATTCACAAATTTCTCAGGTACACCTTTCCTGAGTAGACAGTCCCAAAGTGCATGTCTGTTCACCGAATCGAATGCGTCTTTGATATCGAGGAACACGACAACGGTCGGCCACCAATATATGTGACTGTGCTCCAACAACTGACGCAAAGTGAAGATGTGGTCAATGCAGCCACGACCTCGGCGAAATCCAGCTTGCTCTTCACAAATCTGGCTTTCACGATTGCCAGTCAAACTGTGAAGGATGACAGAGGCAAGCAATTTGGAGGCGATGGAGATCAGACTGATTCCTCTATGACTGCCGCATTCCGATCGTGAGCCTCCTTTGAAAATTGGGACTATGATGTAGCGGCTCTAGTCAGTTGGGACAGTTTCCTGCTCCCACGGTTTCACTAGTAACTCGTGCAAATTATCCACAAGAGCAGGTCCCCCGAAGTTGAAGAGGGTTGGAGGAAGGTCATCAGGTCCTGCAGCTTTATTTATCTTCAACAGTTTGTTCTCACGTTCGACTTCTGAGCGAGAGGGTGGATCCATAAGGACAGCCCCCGGAGCGGGGCGATCAATGGCCGGTGAGAAATCTAACAATTCCGACCGATTAAATTGCCTTTCATAGTGCTCAGCCCAACGCTCCAAGCGCTTTGACAAGTTGTGGATAGGCTGTCCACTCTCCTCACAAATTGTTTCACTAACACCAGGTCTCCTGCTGCCCGATTCCCGTAGCAGACGGAATAACTCACGATGGTTACCAAGGGCAGCGGCCATTTCCATCTCTGATGCACGATGAGACCACCAGGATTCGCGGTCTCTCTTCAGGCTAGCACTTAGTCCTGCCCGGAGCTCTTTGCTAGTTTCATTGTGTTCACTTCCAGCCGGAATATGCCGGTGAGCACCAATAAGTTCCAGAGACTGCGAAGAGACCCAATGTCTATGTTGGCGATTAGATATACCACATGAGGATTCTTCTGCTGCTAGTAAGGTCTGGTGAATATGAGACCAGTTACCTTCAATTGCATCCCGTGAGCGTTTATCCAACTCGCCTGACAGCGTACTTTGATAGGCATTCAGAACAGCTGGCTTCGCCAGTTGGCTGGTGTCAATGTGCTCACAACGTCATCGTGGGCGTCCGCCAAAGCGCATCCGCAGGTCAGCACATACAAGTGCATGATCAGTGTCCACACCTGTGCTCCAAATCGAGCGACAGTTCTGGACGCAGCCTCTCCATCGGTAACTGATAGCAATGTGATCGATTTGCGTCCATAGCTGATTCGAGGCTGGTGGGAGCCAAGTCACCCTCCGGCGACTGCTGTGTCAGAAATTAGTGTTCGCAAGAAATAAGCGAGCATCCTCACACAAATGAAGTAACCGCTCACCGTTATCATTACGGGAGCCTACGCCATGTTGGCCACCCATATGCAGCTCATCTGTGGATAATTTTCCAACTTGAGCCTTCAGATCCCCAGCCAGCACTACGATGTCCGAGCTTCTTCTGTGGAAAAGGAGCTCGTTCAGTTGACGTTAGAAGTCGTCTTTTACCGAGTCATGGCTAGAGTTTGTCGGTGAATAGGTATCGATAACGAATAGACACCTGTTAGTCCCACACGACTTCGAAGTTTTGAACGAGCCAGCCAATCGGACCGCACACATCCAGCTACTGATTGGAATCCAATCAACCAGGGTAGATTCAGCCCGGGGACTCAGGGCAATACCAACGCCGGCTTGGCCGGTGCTCGAAGCTGCTTTGTCACCGGATAGGCGCAATAAGAAAGTGCTGTTAGTGTCACCTGAAGGGATAGCATATTGAGTACAGAGCTCGAGTCTTGCAGGCAGGTCTCCGATATGCAGCAGATATCGATGGAGAGGGTCTCTAATGTTCGAGCAATTGCTGCCTGTTGACCGATCTGAAGCAATGTGCGAACATTGAGGCATGCCAGTCTGAAGGAGGAGCAAGGAGTTAATAAAGTTAGCATGTCATAAATCCACTATCTATTGTGCATACAGTTCTGACATTTGGCGAACTGTTTGTGTGGCCATTATGATGCATGCACTGCCCGGTGCAGTACTAACAGGAAACATGGGAAGGATGGGTTGTCTATAGGTGTTCAAAGCTAGTGACTAACCAGTGCAGACAACTACCAGTTCTCAATAGATCTATTCAGGGCTTATGGCATGTCGACAAAAGACTACTTAAGGCCCCAATCCATTCACAGCAACAAAGGTATGGTTAAAGCGCACGACTTGGATTTGCCTGTCTTAATGTCCTAAAGATAGAGAGCAGGATAGCTTTGTTCAAACTTTGTCACAATAAATTCGTTGTTCTGAATACTGTGTAACATGTCAGTGAATAGAATAACGGTGGAGATCCCTGCGGAGCGCGGTGCATTTTTCTAACATGCACTTGCTCTCTTGGCACTAAAGCTGAACAAACAACTACCAGAGTTGCCCAAAAATGGTTAGAAACACCGACTGAGTAAAAGGTTTAACCTAATCTTATTATTGCCTCGCTCAGAGCTGACTAAGTTGATAAACCTCGTTGACCGTTCAAGCGAGGTTAGCGTAATCTAGGCTATCAAGAAAAATGTAATAGTATGGGAGCATGTTGCGTCCATTTTCCATCGTCGCTGAAGAGTGCAACAATTATCTGAAGTGATAGGTTTTCTTGAATCAGCAAGGCAGAAAACGCAACCGAAACAGAAAACCTCGAAAAATTTTGATATAACTGCGTTAAAGTTAAAACATTTTGGCAGAAATCACGGTACAGTATTTGGATCCCAACAGAATCGCTGATTTCTTTCCATGCCGTCAATACTGGACATTGCTGCAGGACTCAATTCCCACTCGAAGACGCGCGAGTTTTCAATTATATGCCTCGGTTTTGTTGATCTGGCGACCACACCTACAAAAAGATGAGTTGAAGATTGCGCAAATAAGGAGCTAAACTCACTTCGTTTCATTCACACGGATCAGGTAGATAAGAATAAGTGCACAAAGTGTAACAGTGCGATGTATTCGTACAATTCGGTCTAATTTTTCCCAGACCCTTATGCAATAGAACATTTTTCATACATATACATTCATCCGAGTGGGCATGAATTCATGAACAAATGGCAATACGCAGTTTACTGTGTTACAGTCAAAACATCGTGAGCTTCTCAGCGGAAGGGACCTGCACTGAATGTAAGTTGCATGCGTTCTCATATATTCGCTCTGGACAAATTGGTATCCGAATTGCATTTTATCTGCTCGGCTTCATGTCAAGTACAAAAAACGCTAAATGTAAAAGAAGCTGAAACTAAAGCTGCTTTCATTTGGAAATGCAGTGTGGCTACAAAATAAAAATTTTAGCTGCTTGATAAATGGTAGGTCTTTTGGAGCTTTTGAGAAGACACATCTCATACCAACCCAGTCAGGTAGGCATCGCACACATACAAATAGTTTTTCATATCCGCTTCGTCCTATTAGGATCGCCAACAGCGCGCATCCGTGGGATCCCACTGGATCCGAACCAGTGACCCCTAATCTTACGAGTAGGCGAGTAAAGTCACTGAGCTCTGGATAACGTTAGTGAATCGCCATGAATAATTGCTAGCTGCAATAGTGCATGGCTGATACTGTACCGCGAGGTATGGTATACACATATATAACCCGTGAAAATTAAACAGATAACGGAATGGCTTTAGTCTGTCGGGACAGTTTTCCGCTCCTATAAATCATCCATAAGTACCGAGCCCCCGAATTCGAACAGTGATGGAGGTAGATCACCTGGTCTCGTAGCTTTATACAAGTTCAGCAATCCCAGATCAACTTTGACTTCCGAACGTGAGGGCGGATCCAAAGGGACAGCCCACGGAGCCGTGCGACCAACAGCCGTACAGAAATCTGACAATTCCGACCGATTAGATTACATTTCAAAATGTTCAGCACATCGCTCCAAGCGTTTTTAAAAGTTGGGGATAGGCTATCCACCATCCTCACAAATAGTTTTACTAACACCAGGTCTCGTGCTGCACCTAACCCTTATCACACGGGATATCTGCCGATGGTTGCCAAGGACAGCAGCTACTTCCATCTCTGACGCACGAAGAGACCACCAGGAATCGCGATCTCTCTTCAGACTAACACGGCGTTTTATCCTGAGGTCTTTGCCAGTCTCGTTTTGTTCGCTTCCAACCGGAATGTGCTGGCGAGCATCGATAAGTTCCAGAGATTGCGAAGAGACCCTATATCCATGTGGCAATTAGATTTACCACATTAACATAGGCCTGCTGCTAGTAAGGTCAGGCGAGTATGCGACCAGTGACCTTTAACTGTATTCAGCGAGGGCTAGTCCAACACCTATGCTAGCACACTTCGACATACATGCAGAAAACATGGCTTCCCCATTTGCCTGATGTCAGTAGGCTCACAGCGTCGTCGAGGGCGTTCGTCAATACGCACCAGCAGACCAGCACATACAAGTGCATGTTCAGTGTCCACATTTGTGCTCCAAATCAAGGGACAGTTTTGTACTCAGCGTCTCCAGCGATAAATGATCGCGATGTGATCGATTTGCATCCATGGCTGGTTGGAGACAGGTAGATACAATGTCACACTCCAGTCAGTGCTGTGTCAAATGTTAGTGTTCTTAAGAAATAGGGGAGTATCTTCACACAAGTGGTAACCGCTCATCGTTATCAGTACGGGAACATACAACATGTTGGCTGCCCAGATGCAGCTCAACAGTAAAGAATTTTCCAACTTGAACGTCCAGATCCCCAGCTGTTTTTGTGGCGAAGGAGTTCATTCAGTTGGTGATAGATGTCGTCCTTTACCGAAACGTCGCTACCGTATGTGGGCGCGTAGACAGCGATGACGAATAGACACCTATTAACCCCTCGCGACTTCAAGGCTTTGGACGAGCCAGCTAGTTGATCGCACACACTGGGTACTGATTTGGATCCAATCAACCAGAGCAGCTTCAACCCGCGGACTGAGGGCAATCCATCTACTGGCATGGCCGGTACTCGAAGCTGTGTCGTCTCCGGATAGGCGCAAGGAGAAAGCACTACTAGTGTCACTTGAATGGGAACGCAGAGTGAGCGCAGAGCTCTAGTCTTGCAGGCGGGTTTCCGATCAGCAACATATATCGATCGGGAGGAGCTCTAGTCATTGGGCAAGTGCTACCTTTTGACCGATCTTTAACCATGTGCGTACATTGAGGCATGTCAATCTGTGGGCGGATCGAGCGCTTTAAATCAAAGCTGCTGAATTGGGCGTGACCGCTTGGTGGAGTATAGGCTTGTTAACAGAGCAGGAGTGACGCTCCGCGTTTGCATGTAGGTTGCAACTAGGAGCTAACGGCATACCAAAGCAAGCTGGGGGAGGGCCAACAATTGGGGGGGGGGATAAAAGTGTAGTAGGAACGGGACGATAAGGATGAAAAAGCGTAGGACGGGGAATAAGAAGATGGGAGAGCTTGAGTAGTAGCACCAATACCTCCGATCTACCGTGCTCGATGCAGCAGATGGGGCGCCGTCTATTAGCCTCTGCGACGGCCACAGCATCGTGAAATTGTTTGAGGAAAGGTGCATAGTATTGCGTGGGCAGGATACTGTCAAGTTGCGTAGGCCTAGACAGGAGGATGATCATGGTTCTCAACCAAAGCCTTTGGTTCAAAAACCTGATCGCTAGGCGACGGGTTGGCCTTGGGCTAAAAGGAGGCCGATTTAAGGAGTAAGGAACCACCTCCATTCCAAACCCTAAACCTGGAGGACCATGGGGCTGAGTTTGTCTGGCCTGTAACCATTGACCGGTCTGGTATGAGTAGCTCTGAAGGTGCAAAAAGCACCAACCAGCACAACTCAGTGGATCTCTGGGGCACGGAAACAATCACACCACGGTAATGTCTAGACTCATTGCGATGAATTTGTTGCAGGAGATGCATCAAGCAGCGCCCATATTGGAAACGGACATATGTACTCTTTTCTTGCAGCTCTTGAACGAAAAATTGAGTAACTCATGAAGACGCATGGACTCCTCATCGATGTCGGTCCATGGGGTGGTGACCAGCACCGTTATATCTCGCCCCAGGCTCCGATGGTTGGGCCAGATGTTGTGCATGCCAGCACACCAACTCCCGCAACATGCGTTGTTCGCGCTCTGGGCGTATGGAAGAAAAAAGGAGGCCAACTGATGACTTGGTCAAGAGAAATGAAGGCCCTTTGTTGGAAGCTGGCAGCGGTTAGAGCCTTTTTCACCTCGTGATTGAGGCCCGAAATACCATAACCGAATTTGGCTGGGACCTGACCTCAGTGGCATTTGTTTGTCGCTCCCCTCCCGCTAAACCTCTCCCTCCAACCACGATCTCATTTACTGGGCGAAAGACAACTCTCTTTTTCGAAACCATAGTCGGCTGTTGATTCAACGAAACGAATTCTATTTGTTAACGGTGACGCAGTGGGCGTGCTTCTGTTGCATGTTTTTACTTCCATTTTATAGTCGATGTGTTTTTCACCTCCAGCCAACACGTATAATAACCATAAAGTGGAGTATACGTAAGTTGCCCATCCAAGGAACTAGATCAAAATGGCCAGCTTAGTGAGGTTGTCAACACACGGAAGTACTATGCCAAAACTGGGCGTAACACACTTATCCATTGAGAGTAGTGTAGTATGAAACTTATTCCAAAACAAACCCGTTTTAAACATATTAGACGAGGTAGCAGGTAAATGCAAGCGCGGTTCCACCATACATAGTTATAAAAAAACGCAGCGTGCATTTCGCAAGCCATATCATTTGTTGAAGAAGATATATATATATATATATATATATATATATATATATATATATATATATATATGCAGTGCTCCATGCTGAGGCTAATGATGCATTCATGATCCTTCTTCACGGCAGTTGGGCTAAACCAACTTACACTTAAACTAGGTCTTTTTAATGTGGACAAAACTCATTACATTTGTTGTGTCGCCGCTGATGCCTTCACCCCTCGACCGCAAGAAGTCCAAAGACGAGCCAGAAGGAGACTTGTATACATGAAATCACAGTTGCGTATATAGTTTGAAGGCAAAATGAAGGGAAGCTACTAAAGTACACTTGAGCCAACCAACTGAAGGAAAAACGTAAAATGCAACGGCGAATAAGCAACCGTGTAGGTAAGAGCGAACCACGTAGGTCCCTAAAAATAGCACCATTGGACTTTAAGCGTAAAGCGAACGACCATTTACAGTGACGGGCACTAGCCAATCAGAATGACGAAATGAAACGTTTAAACAAAAGTCACGAAACAAACGCGAATAATGAATGAAGACCCAAAATTTGAAAACTAGTACAATAATTGTGTGACACTAAATGTTCCTTTAACATAACCAAGTAGAACAGTGATGAGAAGAAAAAACCAATAGAATATGTTCGTGCAAACAGCGCTGCTGAGAAGGGCATGACGATGAGCGTTCATTAACAATGACGCGGATGTACCAATCGGGCGAACCCAGTAGAGCGTTTAAACAACAGTCAAGCAATAGAAATTAGGAAGAGTAAAGAATAGCTATCAAGCTCGGTTACAATAAATGAATGTCTAATAGCTGTTCTCCTAATACCACCCTCTCTGTAAAAAAACGGGTTACCTGGGGTTCACACAGTTCTTTCGACGCGGATCCACTTGGAGAGGCTGCACGAATCTTCTTGTTCTCTTTGGCCCGTGGCGAGCTCCGTTTTCCATGCATTCCACTGGACTAACGTCACTACCTGCTTGCCGGTGTCCAGCAATTCATTGACGTCAAGTCCGTTGGCTTTCGGAACGGCGGCACCATGTGTATAACGTGGCCTCAACTGATTTACGTGGCGTCTCCACATCCGTGTACCCATTTGAACATCATACATCACGTTGCCTCGACGCCACAC